ATATATATATGGAGAGGGAAAGGTGGAATGTAGTGCTGTCAGCCGTGAATCTCGGACGGCCATGAAGAACTGGCGGAATACCAAATGTGGTTGTGCAATGCAGTTTTTTGCTGCGATACTACTTCGATACTACTACGGCGCCAAAAGCGTCCATCTGTTGATTCCCCAAATGGAAAATGTGGTTAGAATAGAATTTGGCTCCTCAGACTAGCAGCGGATAACCGTTTCACTTTGTCTGTTTGTCACACACATGTCAGGTCGGCTATTTTTTCTCCATAACATGCAATCGTGCCACATTCCTCATTAAAGATCATTCATGACTAATGAATATTTATGTGATTTTCTCTCCTCTCGACCTATGTCTTATGAAATCGGATTGATTAGAATGTGGGGTATGACTAACATCTAATGTACACGAGTTTAACTCGGTTCTAACGATTTCTTTCCACGAGCACTCGGTTCGCAGCTTCGAATCAGTCTCTCGTTACAGAAAACACACGAGTCGAGATGTCCCGATGCAAACCAAAGGTTGCGATCAAATAAAATAGCTGGAATCGATGTCGTCCTGTAGTGGCTGGTCAATTGATAACTGTTGATTAATACAGTAACTTTTTCGAAGTCGATTTAGTATCGCCCAACCGTTTGAATTTAATGACACGAAATGGTCATTGCAGGTTCAATACAGTCCTACGTAACTTTTCGGTAAAATGAAGCGAAAACCGTTCTTCTGAATACACGGACACAATACGGTTTTCCACACCCAAACTCTCTCTAGGACACTTGTTGCGCAGATTACTGAGCTGTTAGCAAGAAAAGTAATATCATTTGCCTGAACTAAATCCAGTTTGTGAATGACACGTGGGAGAAATCCCTATTCCGGACACCAAGGAGTGAAAATCCGTGGAACTGAGAAAAAATCTATATTTGCCAAACGAAAACTTTTTTCCTTAGTGGTAATCCTATATCCTTGTTTCCCGAATTCTCTTATCTCCCTCTCTACCTGTGAATTAGCCCTCGGCTACGGATTCCTAGCTGTGACAGTGACCAATATGGCTGCCCTCACTGGCCTATTATTCGCCCCGCTGAGCAAATGCCCTGGCTACTTGACGTTCATGTCGTTCATGGTGACCACAGCAGTTGGATCCTTGTTCTCCAGTGCTATTCTTGTCCTGATTCCCGAAGTACGTCTGTCTCGCATTCGTTTTTCTCTTTCCATGTTCGATTTTATGCACTCAGGTGTTGATCGATGTTCGTACCGATACACTGTGCTCGCATCTTTCTACTCACCGCTTTGTTGCAGTGTCATGTTTTGTTGTTACAATTGGGACCTGCTCTCGATGAAAATGAAGAACAAGTGTATGTGCTCAGGTACACACATCCACTCTCATTGGGCGTATTTGTATCTTTTGTTTATTTTAGGTTTATTTTGGGTTTGTCATTTGGCTAGTTTGCGCTAGTTTCGTAATTCGAGATCGATAGAATAAAGACTTAAGCAAGCTTTTCCCTTGATATATTTGAAAAGAGAAGCCACCGTAGTAACATTNCCGTTTTAGATGGTGTAAAGAATATCAATCGATCTATCTACTTCAGTCCCCTGCCCCCCCCCGCATACTGTTTCTCCTCCTAATGTCTGGACTCCGAGTTGATGTTTGTGAGTTCGATCAAACCTCTGAGCAAAACCGCTTATATTACGGGTTGTAAAACAGTATAGACGTAGGACAAATGATATTCCTTTTGGGGGTGCAATGTACTTATGTGCACAGTGTTTGCAAACAGAACTGCTAGCTACACACATAAGAAATTGTGACGTGAAAATTCGCAATACAGATGATCAAATGGAGCAGAGACAGCACATAATGAATCTAAACAGCCATAGTTGATGTTTGCCCTTATTTCGGTAAAAGTAAGTTNAAGTAAGTTGATAGTTACACATTGTGCATAAATTCCTGTGGAAAGAGTTCAATTTGTCTGCAGCATCGTATGCATTTCGTAGATTAACCAAAATTAGTTCAGGCCTCTTCGGTTAAAAACGGACTCCACCATCTGTGCAATCTACAAGTTAGCTGCTTTGTTTGACTTGTGTGGCTTACTTGCAGCGGATAATTAACGTAATTATTCTACGAAGTCTCAAGATCCAGTCGAATCACAAATTCCGTTTGGGAGCAGCTAAAGGGGATAGTTTCACTGCAAATATATGGAAGTGTTTTGCTCGTGGAATCTGGGTTCCGCTTTACTAGCACAGAATTTTCGCATCGTCATCGGAATATTTACTTTCAGTGGGGTTTTCTGCCCTGAATCTATTGCTCACGTTAGTTTTTTTCTTGACCGTCCCTTCCCAATAGCACTGTACGTGGGTGGTTTGCTGAAAACTGGCGCTAAGTCCTCATGTAAGATGAGAAAAACTCCCGCACTTTATGAAATGCTCAAATCTTCCAATATGTGCTCAGACTATCCTACAACGATGTCTGTTGGATGATCGTTATCGTCTCATCGTTGACACCGGTGAATATTTGGAATACAATCCTGGCCAAACTTTCACCGAGTTAGTTGCGTTTAACAAATGTTTGTCCATTGAACCGTTCCACATATAAATACAAGCCAATTTCAGTCAAGAAATTGTCTTGTACACCCCCGAGAGGTAGATATTCAGCAACCTTATAACCACAGTTTGTCAACCATAGAAAGGGGAAATATAATACAACAATTAGAAACAAATGAAACGGACAACAACATCACAAAACCAATAGCATACAATCGTGCTCAGCCTTGGTTTAGATAAGCCTTTCGGGCAGATTTTCTGCAACGAGTTCATGGTTGGTGAGAAATCTGGCGAGATTCGGGACTGAATATACGGGTTGGGAACAATTAAATAAAATCTTCTTGGCGAACGTTTTACAGGCCTTGCGATGGTGTGCCACCACATGCTGTATCAGATGCACTTGTGGTATAAGCTAGCGTAGCGACAGAAACTTCAGGGATTCGGTAATGACTTTGTCATCCTTGTTGAAAAGACCAGTTTCAGTTTCATCAACCATTAACCATGCATTTTGGTGCGCCGGTTTTGGTTGCTGTCTTTTGTCTGCCCGTTTGGATGAATAATAGGAGAAAACGGGAAAGTTGAAGGTGGAGTGGAACAGAAAATGGAGAATTTCAGTGGTCTGAGATTGCAAAGAAATTTGAGAAGATGCAAGAACGCCACTGTTTATGACACCCAACCATATAATTCAGTGTCTCTAACCATCGGGTACGATCATCCCGAGGTCCCCAACCAGGGAGCCTAACGGGACCTATGTTAGAAAGACCGGGCATCCACAGAGCCAGTGGGACAGAACGGAAGTATAATTAAAACGTCTAATGGGATCATTTGGGATAGAAAGTGATTTAAGACGTGAAACATGAAACGTGTGCCCCCTGGCCTTCAGAAAAACTTTATTCACGTGGTCAGACAATGTGAGGTTACAAGTGAAAATAACACCAAGGAATTTGATAAGCGGTTGTTGATCTGTTTGTTCATTTAAGATAGATAAAATGGGCCGGCATTTGACAGTGCATCATACTTTTGACCTATCAAAAGAGGAAAATTACGTCATACGAAGGTATTTTGTTGTTGAGACCACTCCACTAAAACTGACAAGTCATCTTATAGAGTGATCTGAGATGATCGGTTGGAGTAGGGTATTCCGAATATTCTATCGTCAGCATACTTACTAAAAAGAGAAGAATTGCTCACAGTCGTCAAGGAAATGTAAGCGGAAAATGGCAGCGGGGATAAATAGCGCCTTTCAGTGAGGAGAGAAGCAACGACCTTTGTAGCGTGTGAACTGCTGACGGTTGGAGGAATAGTCGGTCAAGAGTTCAATCGTAGGAGGTCGAACGCCGTCTGTAGAGAGGATATTTGGCAGTATTTTACCATCAATGGTGTTGAAGAAATCGCTATAGTCTAGAAAACATGCTGACAGCCTTTCTTTCCTTATCAAAATACAGAATAAATAAGGACAATCGAATGTCATGCACGGTTTAACTTGAATAAGTCTCCAATGCGGATTGAACCGTGGTGAGAAATCCGAACAACTTTCTTCGAGTGTCAGATAGATGGTGCCTTGCTTCTCGCAGGGATTAAGTGTGTTGAGGACGGATCAGCCATATCGGTTTCAAACGACCGCACTGGTATGATTGATACATGACGTATCTCGTGTGTTCCAATCAGGACTGTGATTAATCACTGGATAATTATATTTTTCGAAACATGCCAATCACCACTTGTGCTGACTGTTTCGATCGTTCCAATCCGAAATTGCGGCCCATTCGTGCGGACTAAGCCCGCTCTGTGTGTGTGTGACTAGTTTCTGTAAACAAACCTTATTAGGTTCTGCACAGATCATATTGATTTTAATATTCCATGGCACTTTATTAGAAATATTTTTGAGGACCACACACAGGTATGTACCCGCCCATCCATTTTCAGAGCTCTCTTTTCAATCTGTCTTTCTCTCTCAGTCTGATGTTGAGCTATTCTTCCCTATGAAATTTTAATTGATTTACCTCATGGATCCACCATTGATGGATCTATTGACCGCATTCATCATTCGGTACTGTTTCTTTCTGCTCATTTTCTCAGTGTTTTATAAATCCACAGGACGATGCAGCGGCGAGGAGAGAGTTATTTGTTGTGAATAACGGTAAAGATATCGGTCAATTGGCACACACGCAACGAAATGTTTCACCTGAAACAAGTCCTCAGAATTATCACAAACATTCGGGATAATTGCTGAAACGGTCCGACAGTAGATGCACATTTCCCATAGCTACAAAATTAAATCCTGCAATCCACTAGTGAATTTCGCGGGAATCCAATAACCGCTTCTTGGCGCGTGCAAAATTCTCACAAGTGTGAGTAATACCTCGCGATAGAGCTATTTTGCTCCGGTGGCACTCTGCGCTTGGACTGTTTGATCTCTCGTTGGACGAACTAGACGTTAATTTTATTTAAAAAACACGTGTTCAGATTTTGTGAGTTCCCTTGAACAACTCGATTTGCTGTGTAGTGGAAATCGCGTGAGGGCATTTAAAGTTTCTTGAATATAGTATCGGCATACAGTATCAAGCTTGGATTAGCCCATTCGATTTTTCAGAGGCACCAGGTACTCTTGATGGTCTTGGGTCTGAGTTTCACTCCTTGGGAGATGGTTAAGGGTTTGATGTCCCGACCCGGCTCGAGTCCTGACAGGGATACAAAAATTACGCACTGCTGAAGAGCTCCAAACAAGACGAATCAGCTGTTCAGGGGTATTTGCTGGTTATCACAAACATTTCCATCTTATTTGAATAGTATCTGCTTGCTCAAGGTATCGTCTGCATAACTTTGCCCGAAACTATACACGGATGCGTTTGCGCGACTTAGCTCGTTTCAGGCATGCTATTGCCTCAAAACTCGGTAGTTCCAGTCATACCCCAACAACTGAACCAAGTTGGCCCTTGGAATACGCAATTATGAAAAATAAGTTTGCTTTTTTATAGTCAGCACCACGGAGACAAAGTTGGCAAATTATCCTGCTAATTCGCTTTTGAAATTGGGTAAACTGAAACCGTTCAATACCATGCCTAACCTAGCGGGGCCTTATGTGGTTCATCGCTTCGTGTTCCGGGGCCTAGTTTGCCAGTTTCCACCACTGAACAGCACGTCTTCGCTACTCTGGGGTCTACTCCGTCATCACACAACTGTGTATAATAAAGAGAAAAAAGGTATTCACTGGTCACAAGATTAAGAATCTCAATGCGATTCGAACCCTCGCTTAGACAATACCTAAACCTGAACTCCACTGCGTGGATTCATTCTCTGTCGACGATTGTTATGATTACATCCGGTGTTGGGGTAACGCATTTACGACAAGTTCTTGGTCACACACACACGTAGACACAAAAAACACGGAGGCTGTGACTACTTGATTTTCACCCTGGTTACTTTCCTGTTTCAACTGCCTGAATTATGTGGCATTGGTGCCTCACTGCCGAAGGGTGATGTAAATGCTCTGATGAAGTTTATTTCTTGCAGCCTCCCCTCCTTTATTTGTTTGCCGCCAAGCCAAGAAACGTATTCATCGGAGCGTACCCCTCCCCAGGGTTACAAAAGCATGCATCACTAAACAAACCGTTTGTGATATTCATCGAAATCAAATGCAAATGTTTTGATCATCGTTGCGTAGAAATCTCTGTTTTTGCACGAATGAAAATCGGTGCACTATATCTATATAGTAAGAACTATATTGTAAGAACTTGATTCATGCCACGCACTTGGAATTGATAAGGGAGGACACAATCGAAAACAGCCATTTACTAGTTAGAAACGCATCAAATAACTCTTATCTTTCTAGAACATGATCATGCCATTTGATTCACGTGCATACGGTGGCTGACCGATGCTCTCGTTGGTTGTGAAAAGGAGTTACGGATGGAAGTTGAGGAGTGTGTGTGTGTGTGTTATAATGCTTTCGTGTGGCATGGCGCTGAAGTGCAATGAATGAGGTTCAATCACATTGAAATGTTCCATCTTCATGAGTTGCGGTGTTATGTTATGTCCTACTGTTCAGTCGCCTGGTTCACAGAAGGCCTTGCGAGAGGATGTACTCTAGCGTTTGCGCAACCTAGGGTGAACTTTAGAGTAGCAGACTTCGAGATGCGCTGGCAGCCAGTTGTCTGATTCATCCGCGTAGTACAGAGAATCTTGTCGGTTAAATGGCTCATCTTAAATAATGGATGGCCACGTAATAGCATTGCTCACGGAAATATGCGGTATCCCTTTGCTAATTATTGAACCCATCATATTCTCTTGCTCTGGGACCACCGCTTATTCCGTAAGCCTTGAGTCACGTTATCCATGATCTCCATGGCGCGTGATAAAGGTTAAGGCAGTCAAAATGAGACCTGGTATGGGGATATGAAAAGCCTAACCAGGACACTGGATCACATAGGTCCCCTTAGGCTATCTGGTTGGGGAACCCGAGATCATGATAACCAGTGATTAGAGATACTGAGTGATATGGCTCGGTGTTGCTAACAGTGAAGCTCACATCTCTACCCCTTGCTCTTGCAACCCCAGTCTATACGAATTCTCTAGCTTCCCTTTGAATTTGCTCTTTGCATGCCAATCTTCACTCTGCTCTTTTATCCAAATGGGCAACCAAATGATAGTAACCAGAACCGGCACATAAGGATGTATGCCTAATGGTTCTTAAAACTGAAACTGAAACCTTGTTCATGATTAGCAAAATGGTGGCTATTTCCACATTCGCGACCCAGGGGCCGTGCTCGGTAGCACGCAGATGTGGGTTTCCGAGGTCCAACATGTTGCGACCTTTGTTGTTACACTTGGTCGCAGTCTCTCTTCGGTGTTAATCATTTACGGTTATGAGGAGCAAGTAGTAGCTCACATAGACCGAAACACTTCCGCCTGATGCAGATTGCGTTATTCAGTCTAGTACACGAAAGCATACTTACTAATAAGTAGTACAACGTTTCTTCGCACATTTTGGCATTTCCGTTAGCGTCTACTAGTGTACATTTATCCCAGTTGTCGCAACCGGTAACCTAACAC